AACATACATCTGACACTATCATTGCTGCTTAACTACATCTAGCACTATCATTGCTGCTTTAACTACACGCGACACTATCATTGCCTGCTTAAACTACATCTGACACTATCATTGCTGCTTATAACTACATCTGACACTATCATTGCCGCTTAACTACAGCTGACACTATCATTGCTGCTTAACTACAGCTGACACTATCATTGTCTGGCATAACTACATCTGACACTATCATTGCTGCTAAACTACAGGCGACACTATCATTGCTGCCTTAAACTATCATTCTGACACGATATCATTGCTGCTTAACTACATCTGACACTATCATTGCTGCTTAACTACAGCCGACACTATCATTGCTGCTTAACTACATCTGACACTATCATTGCTGCTTAACTACATCTGACACTATCATTGCTGCTTAACTACAGCCGACACTATCATTGCTGCTTAACTACAGCCGACACTATCATTGCTGCTTGCTTAGATCTGACACTCATTGCTGCCTGCTTAGATCTGACACCATCATTGCTGCTTGCCTACAGCTAACAATATAATTGCTGCTTGCCTATAGCTGACGCTATCATTGCTGCTTGCCTACAGCTATCAATATAATTAGTGCTTGCCTACAGCCGACACTATCATTGCTGCTTGCCTACAGCTAACAATATCATTAGTGCTTACCTACAGCCGACACTATCATTGCTGCTTGCCTACAGCTAACAATATCATTAGTGCTTACTTACAGCCGACACTATCATTGCTGCTTGCCTACAGCTAACAATATCATTAGTGCTTACTTACAGCCGACACTATCATTGCTGCTTGCCTACAGCTAACAATATCATTAGTGCTTACCTACAGCCGACACTATCATTGCTGCTTGCCTACAGCTAACAATATCATTAGTGCTTACCTACAGCCGACACTATCATTGCTGCTTGCCTACAGCTATCAATATTATTAGTGCTTACCTACAGCCGACACTATCATTGCTGCTTGCCTACAGCTAACAATATCATTAGTGCTTACCTACAGCCGACACTATCATTGCTGCTTGCCTACAGCTATCAATATCATTAGTGCTTACTTCACAGCCGACACTATCATTGCTGCTTGCCTACAGCTAACAATATCATTAGTGCTTACTTACAGCCGACACTATCCTTGCTGCCTGCCTACAGCTAACAATATCATTAGTGCTTACCTACAGCCGACACTATCATTGCTGCTTGCCTACAGCTATCAATATCATTAGTGCTTACCTACAGCCGACACTATCATTGCTGCTTGCCTACAGCTATCAATATTATTAGGCTTACCTACAGCCGACACTATCATTGCTGCTTGCCTACAGCTAACAATATCATTAGTGCTTACCTACAGCCGACACTATCATTGCTGCTTGCCTACAGCTAACAATATCATTAGTGCTTACTTACAGCCGACACTATCATTGCTGCTTGCTACAGCTACAATATCATTAGTGCTTACCTACAGCCGACACTATCATTGCTGCTTGCCTACAGCTATCAATATCATGTGGCTTACTTACAGCCGACACTATCATTGCTGCTTGCCTACAGCTAACAATATCGTTAGTGCTTACCTACAGCCGACACTATCATTGCTTCTTGCCTACAGCTAACAATATCATTAGTGCTTACTACAGCCGACACTATCATTGCTGCTTGCCTACAGCTAACAATATCATTAGTGCTTACCTACAGCCGACACTATCATTGCTGCTTGCCTACAGCTAACAATATCATTAGTGCTTACCTACAGCCGACACTATCATTGCTGCTTGCCTACAGCTATCATATCATTAGTGCTTACATACAGCCGACACTATCATTGCTGCTTGCCTACAGCTAACAATATCATTAGTGCTTACTACAGCCGACACTATCATTGCTGCTTGCCTACAGCTAAACATATCATTATGCTTACCTACAGCCGACACTATCATTGCTGCTTGCCTACAGCTAACAATATCATTAGTGCTCTACTACAGCCGACACTATCATTGCTGCTTGCCTACAGCTAACAATATCATTAGTGCTTACCTACAGCCGACACTATCATTGCTGCTTGCCTACAGCTAACAATATCATTAGTGCTTACCTACAGCCGACACTATCATTGCTGCTTGCCTACAGCTAACAATATCATTAGTGGCTTACCTACAGCCGACACTATCATTGCTGCTTGCCTACAGCTAACAATATCATTAGTGCTTACCTACAGCCGACACTATCATTGCTGCTTGCCTACAGCTAACAATATCATTAGTGCTTACCTACAGCCGACACTATCATTGCTGCTTGCCTACAGCTAACAATATCATTAGTGCTTACCTACAGCCGACATATCATTGTCTGCTTGCCTACAGCTAACAATATCATTAGTGCTTACATACAGCCGACACTATCATTGCTTCGCACCTACAGCTAACAATATCATTGCTGCTTACCTACTGCTATCACCGTCACTTCGCACCGCTAAACATTGCTGCGTGCGCACATTTTCAGATCAGCAAGGTGTCTGCGCGTCTGGCCGAGTGTCCGCGACTGAAGTGCTGCGACTGCGAGGTGAGGTGATGAGGTCACGATGAGGCGATGAGGTCACGATGAGGTGATGAGGTCACGATGAGGCGATGAGGTCACGATGAGGTGATGAGGTTACGATGAGGGGAGCAGGTTAAGTGGGTAATCTGTTGATAAGTAATAAGTTGATGGTATTCACTACCATTAGTACCTACGGTCAATTCTCACCTGTTTACCCATCAATGATGATACTGGAGAGGCTTCTTGTTTCTCTAGCCAACCCTGGTCAAGTCGGCAGTGTGTCTGCATGTGCAACCTTGTTTACTCTTTCCAGGTGTGAGTGTTAGATATTACCAAGATTAATACATGTCCTCATGGTGTCGAATATTCACACTTGCATGTAAAACACATTTCTGAGCTCTCCTCAGTGTTTGCTTGTCTTCCCATATCAGCTAGCTCATCCATTGCAAAGCTTCACTAAAGCCTGGCGCACATGTGAGTTATTTTACTCAAGTAAAATGACGCATGAGTCAAATTACTCAACGAAAATCCGCTGCACACGTGAGTAAAATGACGCATGCGTCCAATTACTAAACGAAAATTTGCTGCACACGTGAGTAAAATGACGCATGCGTCCAATTACTAAACGAAAATTTGCTGCACACGTGAGTAATATGACTCATGCGTCATTTTACTTGAGTAAAATAACTCGCGTGTGCGCCGGGCTTTAGGCTTCAACCACTATTGCTCAGACAAAGATGCTTTAGTTGCCACGGTGATGACTCACTGTCTGCAGTTATCTTGTCATTGATGGACTAAGCATTGATGTAGTAGAGGGATTTACGCTATTTAGATGAATCGGCGATTGCGTGACGTGGTGTTAGAGAATTTACATGCAGCTATTAATGCAGCTTCATCCTCTCCTCTGTCTGAAATAGTTGATATTGATCAGTGAAGGGTTTTACTTTTAATAGGGCTAGAAGTACATACTTCTTCGGTAATTATCAATAGTTCAGACCAGGAGGTAGGCTGGGTAAGCAAGCATCAGCTTGTACTAGTGAGCCTAGCATAGCATATATGGTGGTAAACTAAGAGCCATGGTAGATTAGTTATATTTGCTAACATCTTGTCTTTTGTTGCTTTTATTGCAGTACATGGAGCGGTACACAGCAACCAAAAAGAAATTTGCTTGAATGATGACAGCAATAAATCATCCAAAGATCATGGTTATGCTCCACCACTAAATATATAGCTGTGCGTTTTGAAGTACAGCTTGCTTGTATGTATATGTATATGTATATCTATGAATGTATGTTTGTTTGATGTATGTATGTATGTATGTATGTATGTATGTATGTATGTATGTATGTATGTATGTATGTATGTGTGTGGTGTGTATGTGTGTATGTGGGTATGTGCGTGTGTGCATGTATACATGTACAGTCAACCCTACATATATGGTAATCACTGTGGTCATGTTTAAATATGTTCATAAGGCTTATTTAATTCTGTATCTTTGTCATAGCTTATATATGGGATAACTGTCCATAACTAGCTGTGAGGTGCCTAAGACAAGGTAGTATATTTATATGTAGGTTAATTTGCAGATGTTGTAATTCCTTCCATAGACCGTGATAGGTGCTTTATGCATGTATTAACAGCACCTTACGTTGTGTCTGTCTACTTGAGCCAAACGTCTGGTATGATGCATTACCACATGTGGCTAATTGCAAGTTTAAAAAAATTAAATGTCATTGCTTTGAGTGTGTCTGTGAGTAGAAGCATCATGAGAGATAAGTTGAGGTCCTCAGGGCCTCATATGAAACAGTCCCAGCCTGCAGGTTAAATGCTCAGCATATGAGCCAAAGTGCGTGACTGAGTACACAGTGACGAGCTTCTAATAAAATTCCAGTAATTGGCCAATCACTGTCTACACATTAGCTGGAAATCCTGATGCAAGGAAATGCACTGTCGAGTGTGGTGTAAAGTGGCATTCAATGACATGGATGCAGCATCATACTCGTACATGTGGTTTAGTCACATCAGTCGCGTGTCTATAATTTCATTTGTTAACCGGCATTGAACGGCATTGTGTAGAAACAAACGGTCGAGGTCAAAGTCAGTGCGTTGTGAGGATCAGTGTATCAGCAACCCGTGTGGTAGCTCTAGCACTATAGCCCTTGTTCGCCACAGGTATGGCTGGCAGGTACAGCTGTGGCGAACAAGGGCTATAGTGCTAGAGCTACCGGTGTGGTGACTGCAGTGTGAGGCCTGATATCGTGGCACAATAAAAATTAGGTTAGCCACCAGCATGCTAATGCGGTCATGCACATAGATCATAACGCTGACTACTAAAACTGACTCTGGTTGTGGATGAATATGGTGTCTCTAATCGTGCTAGCACACGACGTGTGTTGGTGTCTAACCATTGTGAATGGCGAACTTAAAGCTGGGGTGATCCCGTGGCACTTCTAACTTGGCATGATTTGCCACTTACGTGGTAGTTGGGTTTGTAATCGACCTATGGTAGGGAAAAACGAGGAACGATCGAGTCTTGAACAAGTGCAACAGCATTATAGCTGCTTTAAGAAGATGCTCTGATTGGTAGAAATTAGATCGAATTACGTAAATGGTTAATGTGCCATTTTCGGAATAGTATCACCCAGCATACGTCACCTTTAATGTATATTATTTATTCATGTACACATCAACCTTACGTTGTAAATACCATATAAATATCTCTGGTGCCGAGTAGGCTGTGTGCGGGGTTGACTGTGTGTGTGTGCATGTGCGTGTGTGCGTGCTTGTGTGTGTGTGCATGCATGCGTCATGTATGTGCGCGTGCGTAGGCGTAGTTTACGTGTGTATATATATATATATATATATATATCGTGTATGCCTCACGTGTACAAGCCATGTGTGTGAGATCGAATCACACAAAGTACAACGTGATAACTCTTCCATGTTTTGCATTAGACCGATGTCGTGTAGATAATTCTATTTATTAGTCGCTGAAGACGTGGCGGACCCTTGTGCAAAAAGACACGCACGCGCGTACTAGGCAGATTATAACGGTTGCCGTGCAAGATGCCGTGTCCATGGGGTACTGGCGGAACTAATCCGCAGTGCGGCGCTGATCGTCAACTCGGTTATTCAATGCAATTGTGATTGTAAACACTTTAGTCAGGTCCCTTAGCTTCATGACCGTTACAGAGCTGACAAAAGCATCAAACTTGGCACAGTTGTAGCCTATGGCAGTACTATAAATATTAGAGGGGGTGCCCAATGTAGATATTCCTTAGACGTGAATTACAGATGATTAAATGTTTGAACCGCGCCCACCTGTACTGGCGCATTGTATACAGCTGTTACCCCCTTCGCGCGCATACGCTATTGCGCTATTGGCGGCATGAAAGTGTATTAACTCTCATATCTCGCAAACGAATTGAGCTCCATTTCTAGAAATCTAGATACATATAAACACATGTCTTAGCTATAATCCCCGTGAATTTTATTATTGAATCACGAATAGTTCAATTAATTACCAAAAATATACGCACGGTATCGCTCATAGGCTATATACGCGCGGCTATGGCCCGTAGGATAGTGTACTAACTCTAATAATATCTCGCGAAGGATTTGAGTTACTTTTCCAAAATTCTAGATACCTATAGACACATGTCTTAGCTATACTCTCTGTGAATATTGAGTTTATTGACGCACGATTAGTCAATATATTAGCAAATATATGGGCGCGGAAGTGAATTACAGATGATTAAACGTTTGAACCACCCGACTCCGAACCCCCCTACCGCGCCCGCCTGTACTGTGTGTACTGGGGTGTTGCTATCCCCCGGGCGTGGAGGGACTGTCCCGAAACGTGGCAGCACTAGTGTTAGGATTAGGGTCAGGGTCAGGGTTAGGGTTAGGGTCAGGGTTAGGGTTAGGGTTTTTGCATCATGATATCTGTCCCCACACCATAGATTAATTTTTGTGGATGACACCCCTATATATAGAGATCCGATATATAGATATTTAGTGTTAAGGTTAGTGTTGGAGTTAGGGTTATGGTTACTGTTAAGTTTTGAAGTATACGTCAACTGTATCACGTGACCGTCCCTCCACGCCCGGGGGATAGCAACACCCTGTGTACTGGCGCATTGTACAGCTGTACATGTATTGGCATTGTATACAGGTGGGCGCTGTAGGGGGGTTCGGAGTCGGGTGGTTCAAACATTTAATCATCTGTAATTCACTTCTAAGGAATATCTGCATTGAGCACACCCTCTAATAATTCTAGTACTGCCATAAGCTACAACTGTGCAAAGTTTGAGACTTTTGTCACTCCTGTAACGATTCGGCCCATATTTTGCACTAATGGACCTGACTACTTGCGGGTTGCTGAGTAACCGAGTTGACGATCAGCGTTGCTAGCGGCAGGTGCGCGCATAGCCGGTGTCTCATTGGATTGTCTCTTATAAGTGTGTTAATTGTTGTGGTTGGTGGTGATGTTATTGTCGTTGTTGTTGGTGTTGTGAGAGATCCTCGCAACGTGACTTTTCAGCGACTTTCTGTGACCGAGAACGCGTAGCGTTAGTGTCAGCTGTGTCGCCCGTGCATGCCATGTGCTGTGTGCACATAACGAGCGTTGCTGGCGCCTACCGCTAGGGGGACAGTTCGGGGACTGACGCTCTCATATAAGGCTCCATTATTAGGCCGCGTAGCAGTGTCTCAACCTCACTTGTTTTGAGAGTTGCGGACTGGGTGTTGTTGTTAGCCTTGTACAGGCTGCAGGATTTGATCCCACGTCAAACAATTCCGGTCACACCCTAGCTAGTTTGATGTAGGATAAAATTTGCCGCGTGTACGGTACACTAGTCGAGATAGCTGTCCCGTTAGCTGACAAGTCACAACCAGCTGTGATGCCATTAGCCATTTCTATTATCCATAACCATTACTCATAGACATTTTCGGGCACTTCTGGTCAAGTTGCCCCGTCCTGACGGAGCATTCGGCGAATCGATTAAAAATGGGCTGGGGCGGGTCCAGAAATAATGGAACGAGGAGGTCCAGTGAATGCAAAGCAGAGAGCGTAGGTGCGGGAGGTGCGCCCTCGGCCCCCAGTTCTTTGTTTTAGTGAGTTACGGTAACAATTCGATAGATTTTGACTATATATGATCTATTTTGAACTATTTTATTATATTTCGAATATGTTTTTGCGACATAATAGAAAAAATCAGACTTACCGTAACAAGCGGGTCTGGCCCCCTTGACCCCCATCTCCGCTGGCATTTGCTCCGGTGAAACCTGGCGAATGATCTAGGCTTGTAGTCGAGAATCAAGTCATGTTCATCCGAGACAAAACCGGACTCGTTTATGCAAATTGGTCCGGCTGACATTTCTGAACCAGGCAATGCGCTCCGGCATCTGAACACGGATAACGAATATGCTGGTTGACATTTTACTAATCTGTAATATATATTTTTCTAAATCTAGCTTCGGGTAACTTAATAAGACTTAACTTCACCTGGCTTTCGTTGGAAGTAGATTTCATTTTACTTATGCTATTCATGCACTCCTGTTCAAACTACCACCAACGAACGGTACATTCAACGAGAGAATTATATTCTTCGTTACGAGTTCTATAACATGGTTGAGCTACGCTAAAACTGCCTCCAGAGTACATGCTGTGAGTCGCAGCAGCACTTTGCAAAACTGTGACTGTCGTGCCAGTTAAATGCTTTCGCAAACCAACGCGTTTTTGTGTAGCTTTACCAGGGACCAGGATCGCGTGGTAATATACGCATGTTGGAATCCATTAGTGGATGTATGCCCACTTCTACCAAATGCAACGCGTCCAATCTGAATAGATGGCTTGGTACTTCTTGGTAGTCTGGCTACCAGCGTTGTGCATTTCCTTTCTGTTCAGTCTCCCTATGAAACGCGAACATTCAGCATTCAGCGAAAGCTATTCAGGTGTTGCTTTAGATTGCTGAAGATGAGTATCGTGATAGTGGATTTCTTCCATCTCGGTGAATGCTAAGTATAGCCTTCCAAGGATTACATGATTGTGGTGAAGTAACTGACCCTTTCAAAATCATGCTATATAATATGATTATGTTAATCATCCATCTCGTACTTGGTTTCCATGACGCTACTACACATGCAGTATCCCCTTCCAATCACCATCGAT